AACACATAGGTATAAGTACAGGGAGACACCAAGTACATATGCACCACACGAATCTCAATTGATTTGTGTGAGGGCTGTGATACTGCCTGGGTGCCCAAACCGAAGCAGGTGGTCTACTTAGGGGGCCACACCCCGAGCCTTCAAACTGAACGTCTGACCCATAAGGCAGTGGAGCATCGTGAGGTGATGCAGTCCCATGGTAGCCGGTGACTAACGATTGGTTCATACGCCATTTGTTCCTTCAGGATACTGGAGCCAGCCGATGTGCACCAATGGTTTGGGATCCGGTTAAAGCGCCAGACATTCGCTTTTCGTTCTCTTATTTTCGTAAACAACAGTAATGCCACGAGAAGGCAGTGAGTAGGACTTCACTGTCGGAGGCTATATACTCGTGGCCATGTGAGAGCATTTCGAGAGGGAGAGCGGACTCTCCCCACTCTCGGCCGTACCAGGGCATTTGGGGGCATATCGGATAACGTTTCTAGCCACTGTCGCACCATCTCTAGGACCCCATCCACGGAGTCGTGAAGGACCAACACAAGCCAGCTTTTCTGTAGCTTTCTTTCATACCACGACATCATGTCATATACTGACCACCTCTCCGCTTTTTCCAACCAGTCCCAGAGTCGGCAAATAATGCACGACGACGTGGAATTCTCTGGGACGACACTCGTAGAACATGTCCAAGCCACCGAAGTCGATGTTTCAAGATGGTGACACCAATTGCATTATCGTCTCTGTGCCCAAACTCACGATGCTGAACCTCTGCATTACTGACATGGTGTTGCCACTGAATGTCAGCAATCCTTCGGAGACAACGATGATCGAACACAGAGAGTCGTCTAACATACTGAATTCGGAGAGGCCAGGTTTCACAAGCATAGAGCAGAACTGCTCTCGCTTTGATCTACAGAATGAACATTATATATATATATATATATATATATATATATATATATATATATATATATATATATATATATATATATATATATATATATATATATATATATCAGATCAACTTTGGAGTCATATACCGTCCAGGATCTTCAACTATAGATTACAATTATTCTGTATATACCAAATATGGGTTCGAAATCGTTCGACCCAGTAATTGATGACTTCATAAGTTTATCCTATGTTTTAGTTTGATTTTCTTTTTATATAAACAAATTATATTCCTTAAAAAAATATAATAAGTAAACTTTCCATTGTTTAACATACCTTGACAACTGCATTTTATTCAAACTAAAAAAAGAATAAATTGAAAACGATATACCCAGATACCAATAATCTGAAACAATTGGAGGTATCTTAGCAACAACAACAGCAACAAAAACACGAGAGTTGGTATAAAATTCACATGAAAAATCTCTAGTATCTTCTTGATTCTTCTACTAACCTTGATTGATTGAAAATGAACGAATCAACATAATCCAATATGAACTTGTACGAAGTACCTAATTCTTAAGATTCTATCCTGATAACATACTAATTAAAACATGTATTACTACTATATAGTGTTACTTAGTTGTATGAAATATTTGTTATAAGGTTAAAACATAAAATCAAGTTCACTATCATAATAAGTCCCAATTAGAATATGTGCTTTATAAATATTGATCCACCAGGGTGCTTGCTAACTGTGTGGTTGCGCCACAGGATTGAGCTGTACTACTCTCGTTGTAGCGTAAAAGACTATGCCCTCAAATGTCCTGATATGGTCAAGAGCGGGGAGAGTCAGCTCTCCCTCTTCAAATGCTTTCACATGGCCATGCATCTACAGCCACTCCAAGGGAAGTTCTGTTCACTGCCTTCTCGCACTACGGGAATTATTTACGAAATTAAGAGGACGAAAGGCAAATATCCACCAGGGGTTTTAACCGAATTGGTGGACACAGAGAGTCCACATAGGGGAGTTGGAAAACCCTCATTCCAAACCATTGGTACACATGGTCTCCAGGATCCTGAAGGGGAAAATAACGTACGAACCAATTATTGATCACCGATCACCATGGGACTGCATCGCCTGACGTTGCTCCACTGCCTTGAGGATCAGACCTTTAGCTTAATGACCCCCTAAGAAAACTACCTGGTTCGGTTTGGGCACCCGTTCTGTATCACAGCCCTCACACAAATGAAATGAGACTTGTGTGGTGCATATATCTCTGGTGCCTCCTTGTACCATTATCTATGTGTTCAAATAAATAAATAGTTAAAGACTATATTGTATCTAGTTCTCCTGTGAAGTGAAATTAAGCTGTACTGCTTGGATTAAGCCTGGGTTGTGTCTGACACTCCTGTTAAACGAGATTGAGCTATACTGGCCAGATTATCACATGAATGTCTAGATCTCCTAAAAACCAATGTACATTTATCTTGACCCATAGTGGTATAAATCCAACTTTGTTTCTAGTCATCTTTCAAATCAATATGAAATATTCTATTCTTATTCTAAATATGATAATTATTTACAAACTAATTAACTTAGCTAACTTCATTAACTGAATTTTTGAAAAGAAGGATATTTCTTTCTCTCTTTTTCAAATTATTAGAAGGAATTTAACAGATTGTTGTTGTACAGGTTAATATAAACTAAAATAAAAAAATTTTCTGGTATGTAAAATGATTATAAAGAATTTATAGAGGTAACAGATATGTGAATTTAAATAGTTTATTATCTAAGTAATAAATTCATTTAATTTATATATATATTGATAATTGTATAAATATGATAGGAATTTCAAACGAATAATCAATGAAAAAAAAAACGTTAGACCGACATGTTCAAGACCCTGCAGTCGGAGATCGAACACAAGATCTTCGGTTCCTCTCAAGAATGCCTAATCACTAGATGGCTTAGTCATGTAGTGTCGGTTACTATGTTAAACCTATATAATTTATTTCACTTTCTAGACAGGTCAAATTATCTATTCTTCTGAAGTCACGTTTTTGACATTAGTCTAGAGGTTTAGTGTTCGCGACCGACAGGTCCTGGGTTCGGATCTTGTGGATGAGCACTGCTAAAAAGTCCCACAACAGGACGAAACGGCCGTCCAGTACTTACAGGTTTTCAATGATGGTCTAGCTTCAATCGGCTCATGATGATATCAACCATTGAAATTACTATAATATCTACAAAAACCCCTTCTAATATAAAATTATTCACTTATCAGCCTTGACTTTTTATATGAGCGTATGTGTGTGTACATCTTATTCTACTCATCATATATCTGTAGCTTATTTTTATTTGACTATAAATATTGATTATCACTTGGTTAAATCGAGTTGGCTAACATTCCTTCTCCACCGCGCATCATTTCGTTTGTTTGAATTAACAATTGTACAAAATATACATATTCGAAATCCTTTCTCGTATTTGACTGATTCTAATTCCGTTATTAATTAAGCGGATTAAGTCGGTAATTATATACCAGGATAACCGGAGTATATATTTCGACATGTATACCTCAATAACAACCATTCATACGATCTAATTGGAGTCAGATAAAGGGCATCTAAAGCCGATATCCAATGATGTGCATGTCTAACCTATCTACATGTACCAGAACTCCATGTAACTAATCATAACCTTACTCAAACCCAAAAATTCTGCTCAACCTAATTAAATAAACCCTAAAACTATAACAATCAAAGTGAACGTAGGATAGCCAAAACTAAATGTAATAACAATTATAGTTGTTTTTTTATATTGAAGGCCAAATTTCTGCTTCAACATGCACTTAACCGAGCTGCATACTTTTTCGATCTGTAAATACTTAATAAATAAACTAATGTAGACCAGTTACTATGTATCGATTTCGTATAGATGGCTTTCAATCACATTTATTGCATGTGTCCGAGGGGCAGAGATAGTAATTTGATGCCCAGGTCGGAGCAGTTGAGCGTATCAATCACTTCACTTATCTTCAGAGTCTGATCAGCTGTAGTGGACTGATTTCTGACAAGATCCTGGAACAGACTAGAAAAATTATGTTAGCTTTTGATGACTTGTGTCACCCGAGGCGTAGGCAAGATGTACATTTGTCAATGAAGAGGCAAGTATATTGTGCAGAAGTTAACTATTTTAGTCTATTGCTATGAAAATTACCCTTTAAAAGTAGAGTACATTTGTAGGCTACAAGTATCTGACTGTAGATGCCGCCGCAGCATTACTCGCATATTTTAGGAAACCTGAGTGGATGGTGTTCAGGTTATATCCAGGGTGACAAACACATAAAAAACTGGTTGATGAAAATGTGAGTCTTTATTGACTGAGACGGTTGGGACGTCTCAAGTATGCTTCGTCACCAACTACCTCGACATACAATGTTATCTGAGGTAGTAGATTGGAAGAAAGTTAGGAGTGGTCATACCAAAACGTGTAATCAGTCCACGGAGCCACCAACTGTTGGTATGAGGCAACTTGGTAGATGAAGATTAACTGATTAAATTCTGCGAGATTAACATGAAGAATGGTTAGAGATGTTAAGTAACATCGTTCAGAACCAGTCGGAATGTCATACATCAATTTATTCTCTATCTAACCATAGGTTTACAGTTTTAGAGTTACTTTGTGCCTTTTACTTCACAAATTAACTCTATTCAAAAATCATATTTTTTATGCGTAGTCACTTTTTACTACCACTTCGGTATTCAACGTGACAATTACATTTAACTGTGAAGTAATATGATGTAAAGGTATGGGCCGATAAAATTACGTTCCAGTTTCTAAATCTGACTGATCCCCAAATCAAAGCACAGTGGATCTCGTACCTGTGACCAACTGATCAACTGAAAGCCGAACTAAGCAACTAAACAGTGCTATTCTAATCTTATTATCGTATAAGACAGAGTATAAAATTCAAAATGCAGCATAAGAACAGTAAATAAAAATGAATATATATATATATATATATATATATATATATATATATATATATATATATATATATATATATAACTTGTCATAGATATACATGACCATAAAACACAAGTTATCATGAAAGTACAACAGTGGAAAGATTTTCAAATATACAATGTTCTGCTTTTTGACCAAGTGTACTTTGTGTGATTACATTGACATTATTCCATAAGGGAGCAAATTCATGCGGTAAACTAATACTAACAAATACAGGACAATGAAAACGTTTGGAAATTTTACACGATAAATTTTCTTCATATTCACTAAATGGATTTCGTGAAGCACCGGTTACCGAGTAGATTGTAGCACTATGTTGATCAGATGTTGACAGTTGTGAGGGTAGACATACGGATAAACCTATAGAGAATAATTATTAAAATATATCAGTGAATAGAACTTATGATTACCGGACAGTTTGCTCTCTTCATTACCTAACCAAACGAACAGACAACCATTTAATCGTAAAAATAATAATTTCAATTGAATAGCATACTCTTTTAGCTCACATATTATTTGACGAGAATCGAATGGTAATAGCTCATTGGACTAGTAAAAAAAAACACTATAGCTTTTATTGATCGAAAACCTACCTTAGTCATCACACCAAGACAAAATAATACGTTTGCTTTAAATAGACTTCTTGAGTATTATAAATACAAACTTTGAACCATAAACAGATAACTCTACAATGATTGTGTTACGGAAAAATATGATTGTGATTAGTATATGCACAAATTAAAAGCTCGTGTTTTTTAAATGTACAATGATACTCTAACATTTAAATCGGTTCAACAGAATTCCATTTAGTACATTCACACTTCAAAAAGTTTACTCTGGTGAATACATTGACCCAATCTAGTTTCCTGGTTTCTGTTTTTAACACGCGATTAACATAATGTTAAATTTTTTGCGCTTTTGTGATAATTATGTTTTCCTGGTATTAAATACGTTGGCTATGAAATGCTAACAATTTTGATTTGCTTAGTAAAGCAACAGTTATGTCAAACTGTCACAATAAAAAAACTTGTCACTAGAGAGCCAATAATTGACCGAAGTTTTAGTTAGCCATCCAATTGCGCTAAGGAGCTCCTTACTGATCATTAGTTGGACTTGATTTTTCTAGAAACCAGTACACAGTGAAATATAAAAAAACGACGGCATCACGTCCAGTGTTGTTTATTTCATTCAAATGAGTCTTTCATACCATCATGTTTTTTGTTTTACCTTACGAGGATGATAGAATGGTGAAAAGCAGGGGAGAATCATTTAACCATTATTTTGGTTGATCTCAGCACTTTACTCGGCATTTCTGAGATATAACCACCAACTAAATAATTGATCCCGTCTTTATACATATCGTACAGGCAGTGACAACAATTACAACAATGGCGAAACGTTTCGAACACCGATTTCCATTCAGTGACTTAATCCATAACAAGCGACGATTTTAAGACCATAATCCACTGTGGTTTGTTTGTACTGGTTTTAGGACAGCGTAGACACCAAAAATAACAGTTTTGCCTTGCACAACAATTGTTATGCTGCAAACTGGAGCTGTGTGCAGGTTGCATATACTTGTCTATAAAGACGGATCAATAACAACCCAAGATAATTACCCATACCTGGTCACGTTCGTGTAAAAGTAACTCATACCGTTTAGATGGTATTATAATGTAACAACAAAGAACTAGATCAAGGCATAAAGAGTAAAAGTATGCCCAGACAAATTTTTGACCAAACAGTATCTTGAGCCAATGAAGTATTTTTGACCCTAGACTCGTAATGTTAGGAGCGTCCATTAAATTTATGTCATAAGTTCAATTTTTCGAATACGATATATCGTACTTGAAAAATTCACATATTTTCGTCAACCACGTGATTATAATCGATTATAATCACCATATTGAATTGCAATTGTAGGGCAAACAGACACACTTTTTAGTTATATATCATCTGGTTTACGCGAACATAGCTAGGTTCGAAGTAAAATTGGTGTGAAAAACCATCATACTAAACCCACATACATATAAAGCCAAAGACACTATCCACCTTGAGCAAAGTGAGACGACCTTGGGATTCTTACATCCCTCGTATACAACGGCATATGATCTTTAAATAGTATATACCTAGTGTCAAAGTACAGCCAAAAGTTAAGGAAGATAGAAACACCACGTCTACATACGAAACAAACACATTGTTCTTACCAACTATTATTAGCTTTTCTACGTGACTACTAAGGTGTTTTTTCATAAGATACTCAAAAACCATCATTGTCAAGTCTTGTAGTATTTGAGTGCGGATGGTACTTTAACTGGTTAGTAAGTCCAAGCTATTGTTTATGTTGCACTCATGTATCCATGTTAATCAACAGATTGAAATATTTTGTCATTCCAAGTGTAGCGGTAAATAAATAAATAAACTGGCTGGCCACGTCTCAGGGTCATCACTACACCACCAGTGGGTGAGTGATCTGTAGCCGTAAGTAAATCCCCAAAATCAATATCTCTGTAGGTCTTCGATATTTGATGCTGATCACATGAATTTTAATCGACTCACCTAGCTCAAGGCACTCGGTCATGCATTCTCACCAGACCAAAAGTGAGTATGCCGTGCTTTACTTTTATTACAACCACTACCCAGCTTAGATTAGCCACTTCTCGATGTATCGATGTTCTATCAAATGTATAAACAAGAGTCTTAGCTTTTGAATTCTGGTTTCACTGGGTTGGCACGTTCCGATTATAAAAGACGTTACTGGTTAAGGTGTTGTCAAACTTCAAATACTTGTGACACTTACAAGCCAATCACGTTTGACCTCAATGTTTTCAAGTTCCTAATGAATCTGATGTATAATATTTTGAATACTTTTTTCAAAAGGAGTGCTAAACCAGCCTTTGTCTTGTTATTGAAGAGCTGTTTGGTTGGTCATACATGGTCAAAAATAATGTAACCGGGTGCGCTATACTAAAAGGTAGTGGTATTTCTCCTCACAGAGTAAATCTTTTAGTTTTGATTGCGTACTAAGGTGTTAAGGCTTTTTCACTTTGCAACTCTAGAAATCTGTTTTCTTCGCGCTTAACGAGATTTTCGCGTTGTCCTCTCTATGGGCCCACCTAACGGCTTAGAAACACATAGTCTTAAGAGACCATCATATTACTTTTTGACGAAAGATGGACTGCATTGTGACGGCTACGACAAGTTGTATCGCAACGTGTACACCAAATTCACACCGGCTGCATATAAAACATGTTTCAAGCCACTATTATGTTGGTTGAGCAAAGTATGCTGCTCTACAAGGTCTACTCCGGTTGCCGAGGCGATTGGGCAACTAACTACAGAAAGAATGATGTCCTCAGATAAACAACCAGCAGATAAACAGATGATAGATTTGGAGGAAGCAGAGTGCTCCATTATGAGTCTGTCTTTATATCCAGATAAAACCATTATGGTGGACCCTCAAAATGTAGTAGACGACAAACACGAGAATGCGGGCACTGTTACAAGGTGAAAAAAATGTGCTAAGGAGAAACAAGTTACAGAGGGGTTTAAAATACACAAGTTGACAGTCTCAGATGCAGATTTTAATATAAACACAAAACAGAATATCCGGAAGGAAAGCGGTGAAGAAGATCGGATCAATGAGCAAAATAAGATAATGATTGGCTTACATAAGCACATAAACCGTTAAAGTGAAAAGGTGAGACCCACACACCTGTTGCCAAATAGGCTAGTCAACTTTCATAAGTTAAGAGAGGAAACAAAGACCAGATTTGAACGCGATTTAAGCCAGATTAGGTTCTTAATAAGCAAGATACTTCTAGAAACGTTAGGAGCCAGCACTCATAAGCTTTGTAAAACAAGACAAAGGCGGACTTCGAATGTACGCTGGCAAACAGCATCTTAAAAGTTACTTTTGCTGCTGCTGAGGAATGAGACCTGTTACTGGAAAAACTACGCAAACTGACTGGGTCTGGATTACATGCGGATCTCAGCCTGGTTGATCGTATTTAGAGACGATCGGCAGAGGTACGAACGTATGAGTACCGTCGGAACAGGGAACAACCTTATATATATATATATATATATATATATATATATATATATATATATATATATATATTTATGCCAGAAGCCTACTAAGTAAAATGGCTGAACTTCAAACTGTGGCGGACACAGAAAACCCTAAATGTCACTGCCATCTAAGAAACAGGGTCAACATGAGAACTGTACGAAAGTAAAGTTCAATTGCTTGGTCTCTAACTTTGTAAGGATGAGAGACAAAAACATGTAAGTGGTGGGGTTGCAGCAATTTAGTATAACTGGCTAAGGTTAGACATCAAAAATCTTAGAATGTCAAAACATTATGGCCAAAGTATTTACTCACCTCCTTATCTTGTGTAGGCATTATATTTCCTATTTTATATTGAATGTGAAAAATCTTCATGCGTTTGAAAGAGATATCCTCATACCCTGACTGTTCTGTTCCATGACCAAAATAAAAACTTATTCAACACTAGTCTGATTTCTTCTATCGATGAATCGAGGCTTACCAATTAGCACAAAAGGGTTATTCTGCACATGAGAAGCACCGTGACTATACAAGCTGTCGAAACAGTGGCATACGACTAAGGGACGTGCCAACCGATGCGCTGCTGGCTGAAATATAAAGAGCAAGACATTTATTTATCTGTAGTCTACTGCAGCTCAGAATGTGTTGTAGACGAATTCCTCCTAACTAAACTTAAATCTTGGTCAAGCAGCCAGAGAGCCATAAATTAAATCACAAGAGAGGATCATCGAATTCCTGACCTAGTTACAGAAGGAAGGAGGTCACAAAAGACAGAGGGAAACCGAGGCAAAGCAGGCCATTGCGAACTATTTCGAAACAGCCTTCACCCAGTAACCTTTTCCAGACAAAATACTAGACCCAAATACAAGTGATAAAATCGGTTACTCATCATGGTATATGATCTGGACGGCATACTAAAGGCCTTTAGCACTTAAGATGCGGAAAAATCATTAGAAGAGGATGAATCACACTGTAAAATTGTGAAATAAATTGCATGATACATTGCAGATTCATTACGATAATCACTATTTAACATGACCAAGTTGTTCTTTATGGACTGGAAGGACGCAATTATCAATCCAATACGTAACACAGGGTCAAGTCGAACTCTATAAAGCTACAGACCTATCAGACTTATCAGTGTCATACTTAAATTACTATCAAGAATAATCAAAATCGCCATAATGACATTCATGGAAACCAAAAACTTGTCAAACAGCTAACAACATGAACTCATGAAAGGATTATCTTGTTCGAACGACCTCATCATATAAAAAAAGCGGTGGGCTAAGACTCTAGATAGTACGAAATCAGTGGATGTTGTCCATGTAGACGCCATCAAAGCATTTGGAAAGGAGTCAAATAGAATAGAGTTCATATAGAGTGTAATTTATGTAAATGTGTAAAAAATAGATTAACGGTACGGACTGCACAAAAAAATCCTTTACGGTTAACTTTTTATCGTCGTGTAGCTCTTATATACATAGTCCCACATTCGAAGTTGAATATCAACACCAGTTAAATAAATGA